TGGACTTTGTTTTCTGTTTTTAAGAACATGTTCCAATGATTGTGTTTCCAATATGTTATTGTAGAGCTCTAAAATGATCTCATATCTTTATATTCTTAGCAAAGTCAGATGCAGTGTAAAATAAGTGTTATGTGAAAAACTATAGACATCAGTTTGACCAAGTATCTCATAATTTGGATTTGGTTCATGGGCAGGACAGATTCTTTGTAATACATGTAATCCACATCCTTGTTAAGACCCAACAATTGAGCTGTTAAAGGTTCATCGACAATAAAAATGCCCTGAACCATACATTTTGTGTGCATCTCCGACTCAGTCACGACAAGCGATGTATCACACACACACATCAGTTTTGCTTTGTCTGAGGAACAGCGAGCAGGGCGCGGCAAGGCTTGGCCTCAAGGAGGAATGATGGCGTGTAAGACACTTTTGTTGACATGACAGGTTTTTGTGCGAGCAATTACACTCGTAGATCATCTGCAGCAGCGTGAGCAGTGCGTCTTTCCAGACATGACTCCACCGTGAGGGGTTCAGATGATGTCAACGCCTTCCTAATGGCTGACGTCCGGAGAAAGATGACTGGTGCTATCGCCTCTGTCTTTATGTCTTTATGGCTTAGTGTATAAATGGCGCCAGTGTGAGCCTGCAGTGTGAGATTTATTGACCTTTTAAAGTTAAAATGGAAATATTTTTTATGGAGAATAAAGAGAAAGACAAACAGCACATTTTCAGTTTGGAAAAGCTGAAACATAATTTTTTATTGAAGCTTTTATTGAAGCTAGCAGTTAGCTTTGACCAAAGATTATTGATCAAATTTGTTGGTGTATACACTCTGCTTAATATTTAGGTACTATTTCAGATTTATTTGATTGTGCATTGATACATTGACACACAAACACAAACATTAAAATCAATGTACTCAACATGAACAGATCCGTTGTGACTAAATTAATGCAATCATTTGTTTTCCATTCCATCCGGGTGCTTGTAGAGATAAATGAGGATTGTCGTAACAGAGTATCTTTCCTCAGTTTAAAACTGTGCCACAGCAACACCATCACTAAACCAGCACAAACTTTAGCTCCCTGCTCTCATTTCACACCACAACATGATAGTTAATGATGCATGAACAGCATTATGCTAGCTTGGCTTCACATTGAGGCCCTGTGGCCCTGACTTGTTAGGTCATGCACCCGTCGCTTGACTGTTGAGATGATTTAAGGGACATTGTAAGCTGGATGTATATTTTTAGATGATTCGACACTAATGCTCCTCTTTGGGAGCTGTTCTCTTAGTATGATTCAGAGGATGTCTTCATGAATGAATGAGGGTGTGAATACAGGCTTGGTTGTTATTCTTCAATATTCTATTGTCCCACTGTCATAGAGGTATTAATAGAAATATGTTGGTTAATTAGACACCAATAAATCAGTAAATTGAATGGATGGCAGACTTGTCTGGTAGTAGAAGAAATCAGTGAGAGAGAGTAGAGAATGACATGTGGGAAAGAGGCCGCAGGTCGGACTCGAGCCTGCTCGGGTCGGGCCGCCCACCTGGAGGACTTAAGCCTCTGTGCATTGGGCACGACCTAACCGCTAGGCCATCTGCGCCCATCTGATACGGAATTTTTGGGGCCAATACCAATATCAATACTGGGGAGATAAAAAAAAATCAGATAACGATAAATCGGCCGATATCTTTCTTCTAACTTTGTTCGATCTTTACAGATAGATAGATTTAGATATACACATTAATTGCGCTAGTCACTCTGCAGGGTGATAATGCTTGTTGTAATCCATACAGCACACTCTGCTTGTGACAGCCAGAAAGAGAACTGCTGGTGAAATACAAATACAGATACCCAAATGAAATGCTATTTGACTGGTCAATAAATCTAGTAATATTAGTGCATTTCTGCGATCGATTAAAAGAAGCCGATACCGATAGTCATTGGATAAGCTAATATCGGTCGATATTATCGCTTGGCAGATTAATCAGTCGGGCTCTAACAACGATACAGATATTTTGGTTGCCAGTAGAAACCGGCTCTCCTGAAATCTTGTGTCCGCTCAAGAGTTTCAGAGAAACAATGATTTTAACTTTGCAACTTCTTTATTTGGCATTCTTTTTGTGGTATTAATTATCTTTACTATAAACAGGAATTCAGATTTCAAATATGTGATACAGTAAATAACTTACGTGTATACAAGCTGTATAATATTGTTCCAGTTCTTGAGGAATTTGTTATTTAAAGGATTATCTTCAAAATGGCAGCTTTAACAAAGTGTGGATAATATTAATATTGGTCAACATAGAAACATGTTGTGATGTGTATCTTGCTATATCACTCAGCTTACTTTTCTCAGATTTCTTTTAATCTAAAGAAAAAAATCAACCTCCCCAACACTTTTGAAACTGTCAAATGAGTGAGTTCCCTTTAGATAGAAATCTTAAGTGTTCTTATTGCAGCTTTAAGTTCCTCTCTGGCGCAGCGGCACAT